TTTTTTTTTTTTGAGTCACATAAACATTTTTATTGGTGCAGAGATTTCTCGTTGTCAAATTAAGTGTTTGTATGGAAATTAAAAAATCTCTTATCAAATAAAAAAATGTATAATATGAAGTATTAAATTACATTGGCACGTTAAAAAAAAGTGACATTTAATTTTCTGCAAAATATCTCTTATATTTTAAATACATTTCTGTAAACATTCCTTGACACTGACCAAGTGTCTTTATAAGTTTTTAGTGGTTTATGAGTTCTTATATTTCGCCTGGTGTTTCTTTTGGCACCAAGGTTCTTAGTCTTCGTTCCGCTAGAAAATTAATTTTTCTATTTTTATTTTTTATTTACGATTGGTTTTGATAATTTTGCTTCACTTTAACATTGCCATCAGGCGACAACAACATTCCATAAAGTTTTCAGGCATTTCAAGAATGCAAATTAGGACGTTCATAAAAAATAGCTTCGTTAATTAAATTTTTGTTGGCGCCGTTTAAACGAGTTATCTACCCAAATTATGCAATTAATAACACAATTTTATTCTCGGCTAAGCGATTTAAATCACGGAGTATCCTTTTTTTGTGAATTATAAATATTTTTTTAAAAATATATTATATACACAAGTACATATTTCTATATTTACAGGCATGCTGACTTGAGGCTACGCCATTTCGTATAATTCAAAAGTGGAATAAATGTTAGACAAATTGAACTCAAAACATATGACTGAGCAATAAAGTTAACTTATTTGAGATTACGGCGTGTGATATTCTTACTGGTGTGAGTTAATCTGTCATGTTTTTCCTATTTACCATCTGCCATTATTTCTGTGGTCGAATGAAATAAAAGCTTAAGTCAACTTAAGAAAGAAATAAGTTATACTATATGATAACGTATTCTGCAAGTACGACGAACATGTTAAGCGCTTATTGCTTTGACCCATAGATTTTGATATTTGGTCGAAGAGGCAACTGGTTGCTCGCACAGATCATTATTATAAAATCTTCGCGCCCTTAAAATTCTGAAGTCATACTCTCTTTTTTCGAAACTTGTCAAGCCAGAGCCTATCCAACCCAATAAATTCGTAATATTTGCGCTGGTAATTTAATATTATAGCAAACAAAATTTCTTTTTTACAAATACTTGAACCTGTATATTTTGTATTTTCCAACCCTTGTTTTACCTCTCCCGCCAAAGAGTCGCAACGCTTTAGGTTTGCTTGACTTCACACTGCTCCAGTGGTGGAGTTGTGCGCGAATTTTTGGCAATACCGTCCACTCCACTGTCGTCGGATGCCACTTTTGCGCCTCCCTTTCCTCCTTGATTCTGTGTTGATATTTATTTGCTAAACCTTATTAATTTTATTACGGCTCGTAAATTAGCAACTCACGCGCCGGTGGCTATTGCGACTGCGCACTGGCCGCACTGTGCGGTAATGAGCTGGCTGTCTGCCATAGTTTGTCCCTTTTCCAGCCTGCTTGTCTTTTGTGGTGTCAGTTTTCGTGCATGCCGGCCTCCCCGTCCCACACCAGTCCCAGTCGAAAAGGCATCTAAACCATTTTTATGCTTTACGGTTTCGTGAATCGCGTTCGTTTTTGGTTTTTTGTTCCATTGTTGACGTCGTGAATTTATTGTGGCAATGCATTGTTGACGTTTACTGTAGCAACGATTTTTTTGCAATATGAATAGTAAGTACTGTTCGGCTTGAAGCGAGCTTCTGTGCACATATATATATATATATATATATATATGTTTCCTTGTTAATCGTAGCAGAAAATCGTGTTAATATTGCTTGACATTTGCTGCCCACTTTTTCCTTTTCGCAACTATTTTTTTACTTTGCTCTTTTGCGACTTTAATTTGCAAAATACGTACCTTATTACCGGCGTCATTGGCTTCACCTTTCCCCTCTTACTGGCAGTTCGTTGAGAGCATTTTTTTTGTATTCAGTAAAGTATTTGGATATCTTTTCATTAATGCGATGTGACGTCAGAAAATTGAGTTGTTCACCATGTTAGCGTTGTGTGGCTATCCATATGAAATTACCTTGCTTTTACACACGTTTATGTGTGGTCAGCTAACTGTTTTATTTTATCATTATTGAGTATGGCGATATTTCTGCCTTCTGCGCTTTTGCTAAGGCTTTAAGTTCGAACCCAATAGTTCTAAAAATAATCTTTATATTAATAAAAAAAAACTGTAACAAGCTTTCTTAAATATTACCTATCGCCAAAGATCTTAAAAATTTCATAAAAAAGACTTAAAACTTTAAAGTTTTTAAATGGAGCGCAAAACGAATTGTCTGCAAACTTCAAGCTTTTCCGCTGCCCGTGCAATAAATTTTGCTTACAACACCCTTTCATATCTCCCGTTTACTTTTTGCAACAAATATATCACCACTAGATTCAGCTGCCAACGCCATCAAATGCTCAGCAATCAACTGCTGACTGTGCATGACTCACGTTGCAAGTATGCATTTTTGTCCCTTTCAGCACGCGGTTTTTTTTTGCAATTGTTTTTCTTTGTTTTCTCTCTTTCTGATGTTAGCATTTGCATTTTTTCTTATGCTTTCTTGTTTTTCTTCATGTTTTCGCTGAACTGCGACATTTCTTAGAGTAGTTCGCTTCATATTTGCTTGCGCTCTGTGTTGCCCGCCAAGCCAAACCAAGTGAGCGGCGAGCGGCGCATTCCAAGCCTTCAACGCCCGCTCGCTTCATGCCATAGCCATGTTTGTTTTGCGTCGCCTTTATTGCCTTAACCAAAGCTGCATCATTTTTCTTGCACTCGCTATCCTTTCGCTGCCTCAGCTCCAATGAAGGCTCTGAATCTTTATTTCTTCGCTTTCGCTTTTGTAGCTTCCTTGCATTCTCTTATGTTACCCGGTTTAATGTTACTTTTTTATTGTCAACATGTCATGCTGTGCTTGGAATTTTTCACGCTGCATATTTTCACATTCTTCTGTATTTCACTAATTTTTTGTTTGTTTCTTTATATTATTTCTTTTGTTACTTTTAAGTCCGCTGTTGCATCTGCAGTCGGGGCTATTCGTAACATTGTAATAATGTTTTTACTGCTATTGTCATACGATTTACTTGGATTGAATGCTCTACTTACATTGCTCTTGTTTATTTGTACTATTTTTACTGGGTATGTGTTGTAAGTCTCGCTTTTATGTACGCTGTTCGCTAAGAAATGTCAACCACGACATAAATGTTGGTTGGTTTATTCATTTTACTTTTAATGGGCGGTCAAGGTGTTGGCACGCATAACTAAATAATGCCAAGATGCATAGCAGAACATTTACTTGGCAGACTGGTGGTAAGAGACCAAAGAAGACATAGCTGAGGCTAAATCTTGAAACAAGTTTCTTGTAGCACCATGGAAATAGTTGTTTTTTCTCCTGGGCCTTTCTCTGCAGTACTTACCGTGCGAGTTGATTTTTCTTTAATCTAGCCAACATCTGATCACTTTCGTAGATTTTTTGGAGGAGTTAGGACTGAAAAAGCTGTTATTTTATTTCTATTAAAAGTTCTATAACAGGTAAGGCCGTCAGAACCTTCATATCGTTTCGTTTTAATTGGGACTGTCAAAATAAAATTGTTTGCCTTCTGCTGGCCACCTCCTGACATTTTGTATGATCCTTGAATCCCCTTTTTTCGCAGTAGGATATAATTTAGTCAAATGCTTCTTTCATTCGTATATTCAGCATTTGCACCCACTTCGCAACCAACGTATGAAGTAATATCTTAAATATAAAGTTCTTTACCTAAGAGAAAATATTCAAATAAACTAATAATTTAATTAAGTAAATTTTGTGGAAGGCGATTAAATTTTTTTACTTTAGTCATAAAATTTAAAATTTATACATATCCCAACTTAATTTCCTGTATTGAAAGATTATAGCTCGCGGATAAAATGAATAAATAATCACTGCTTCTTTGCGAACAGCTTATGCGAACTTTGATTTACTGCGCTTTTGTAGAAAGCCTCACATGGATAGGAATCGTATACAATTCATATACGTAAATTGATCATTCATTCAGATTCAAAAAATCAGACAAATATGAATTCAAATGAAAGCCGCTCAGGGGAGCCACCAATTGACAGTAATTTGCTTCAGGGGAAAAAATGGAAATAAAACCAAGTAAAAAAATCTAAGTTCGGACGGACATTAAAAATCCGGCGCAAGTATTCAATAAAGTTCTTTCAGCTCTCCGAAAACTACTGCTACATGGTAAGCAGGGAGTGGTTTTACCCCTATTTCAAACATCTTCGATAGAAATTCCATTTCAATTTTGCTTATTTTCAAGAGATTGCTGTTAGTATCAATTTTGAGTAAATTAGCTTCCTTAAATTTCGAAATTTTGAAGTTTCAAGCATTTATAAAGTTTACCGTTATATAAAAAGTGGGCGCAATTTTAGTCCGATTTCAATAATTTTCAACGCTTTGCTTTTGTGTGGCAAGCACAATAACCGTACCGAGTTTGGTACAAATTGATCGAACGGTTATAGAGATACACATATGTCGTCATAAGTGGGCGGGGCTACGCCCATTTTCCAAAATTTTACCATAAACGTATTTTTTGCTAAAGAATTATTTTTTTTTTATATTTCAGTTTTGAATAAACTAGCTTCAGTACTTACTGATTTATCAAAGATTTCGTCTTTCTCAAAATTACCGTTATATGGGATGTGGGCGTGGTTATTGTCCGAATTAAAAGATTTTCGGCCATTTGGTATGGTGTACCAAGGCCAACAACTGTGCCAAGTTTGGAAGAAATTGGTGGGACGGTGAGCAATATATACACATGTGACCATAAGTGGGCGTGGCTACGCCCATTTTCCAAAAATTTATAATGGGGCGTATTCTTGTTTTCGTACGAATCGAAAATCATGAAATTTTTCTATCATTTTCCATACAAAATTTTCAAATTTTCGATTCGTACGAAAACCAGAATACGCCTCAATATTATTATTTCTCGTCTAAAAATCATCGGAAATATAATTTTTGAGTGCATAAGCTTCAGTATCGCCATTTTTCGTATTTCTGAAAACTACCGTTATATGCGAGGTAGGCGTGGTTATTGTCTGATTTTGCCCATTTTCAATACCGTCTGTCCTACGCTGAAAAGAAGCATACATACCAAGTTTTGTTAAGATAACTAAATTTTTATTCTAGTTATCGTGTGCACAGACGGACAGACGAGACAGTCACCGCTTAATCGATTTCTTTTTTCATTCTGATCATTTATATACACATATTGTCTATATATATCTCGATTCGTTTTGCCTGTTACAAATAACCGTTATGTGAACAAAGTTATAATACCCTTGTGCACAAGTGCGCTCGGGTATAAAAATATGTTTACTTGTTAAACATTGCCAAGCTTAAGTTGTAAGCTTATATTTTAGTGAAGCAATTTACATAGGTGTGTAAGCATTTTTTTGTGTGCTCCCCACTACACGCGCACACGTATGTACATAATTGAAGAAGCGCTACAAGAAATGAATGAAGACTAACGTCGGGAAGGTTGACGCAAGCTGGAGCGGCGAGTCAAACCAAGCGCTGATCACTGACGAAATTATGAATGAAACTCGACACTTGTGGAGCAACAGCGTGCGACGTAAGCAAGCTACAGCGCGTTTATAATTTTTCTTTATTTATTTTTTTTTTGTGTTTGTAGAACGATAAACTCTCCAATTTATGCGTCAAGCTTTTAAAATTGTTGGATCTTTGTGAAAGGTTTTGAAATTCCACAGGCAAAAAAAGTGGTAATAGCCAGAGTTTAGGGCGAGTTAATGGCTTGTAAAGAATTCTTTGTGCGCTCACAATCAGGTTAATCAATGTAACTCAACATCTTTCTTTGCTATTTCTAACGGAGTGGACACTATTCGATTATGCTGTTTAATTTGTGTAAATTGCTAAGCAATAATTTGTGGCTTAACTACCCACGCGTGCGCTCGGCGCGCTCTTCCGACGGCTACACTTCAACACCTCTTTGGAAATCGTCAACGATTTACGAGACAAGGCACAGTAAATGGTTACTTAGAATCAGCGACTTATGTCTGCATAGTAAAATATTAACTGTGCTACTAGCAACAGGTTTGCCGCGAAGCGGGAGCAACAGCTGCTGCTACTTAAATAGTTTCTTTATTGCCGCTTTGCTTTGGCTGTTCATTGACATTTGTTCTAAACTAAGTAAGCTAACTGAGCGCGGTTGAATGCTCTCGACTGCCAGTTTAAAACGATTTCCCATTAACATAAACTAATGCTATTCAAATGACAGTTAAGTATTGAATAACAACGCTACGTCGAACAAAGTTGTGTTGGCTGATAGAGTTGGGCGCGCGCAGGTAGCCAGGCAGCTAGTTGGTCAGTTAGTTCGCTTTTTTAGTTAGTGTCCAATGCAGTCAGCCGAAAACCAACTCACCTGCGGCTGTTTGCGCTCCACTGTCCACAATCGCGTGGCACTGAATCGAATGAAGTTTGGACTGAAACTTTGGCTTTTTGAAAAATTTCAATTATGTTGCAGGCATTTATTGGCTAATAGTTTTAACACCAGCGTCTGAGTGGGCGCGCTTTTTTACTTTGGATTTTTCGGGCTGAAAGCAATAAATCATATTTTAAGCAGGACGCTATTTTACCGTGTGAAATAATTTCGGAATTGAAAACTT